GGGCTAGATGGCCGCTTGTTTACTTTCAAGCCTTTAAGTCCCCAGACACTATAGGTCTCGATAACTGGGCACCATCAGCCTTCTTCACCACACTTATTTATAACATTCTTTTAAACATTATTAAAAGCACTTTAGTTATATTTTTGTACAATGAAGTTGTTTGGCTAAATAATAAGACAATTTTAATTGTCCTAGTAATAGGACTATAGTTCTTAAAAGTGCCTTTCTTTGCTCCAATGTTTGTAAACACTAACCCAAGAAACTTTAGTACTTAGAAACCTGAATTTTCTAGTCAACAAAAAGTTAATTCTCAACGCTAAAAAAGATTTTTCTATCTAAAAAAATTGGTAAACTATCTTTTTGATTACCTAAATTACTCTCCTACACCAAACACCAGATTAATTTTACATGTCATTTTAAAATTTAAAATTTTAAAATTTACTAAAATTTTACATAATTTTAGTGAGAGAATGCTACAGTATGGTAAACTAGGAATTTGCATAAAGTTTGGCTATCGGTTTATTTATGTACTCTTAGTAATAGAAATTTCAGGTTCTGTATAAAAATGACTGAATCAATTTTTGTAAATCTGTTAAACTAGTCTTTGTAATGGGATTGAAATATTTTACCAGAACACACACACCCTTTCATATGATAATGTATTTTGCGGCAACTTTGAGCAGTTTGATGTCTTTGAACAGTTTGAGTATTGATAATTTTTTATATCATTGGTTAATGTTAACAACACTATTCTTTAAAGAGAACAGTGAAGTAATGGTGTGTGTCCCCGCCCCCTCCACTTGCTCTCATCGTTAAATATGAGAAACACGGAATTCATGGAAACAGTTAAAGAATCTAAGTTCTTTGAATTCAGATTGGGTTAGAAGTAGAATTTTGGGTTTTCGTTTACGTTAAGATCTTACAGATGGTTAGTTTTCTTTCTCAGACAGGAGTCTGAGGATTAAACATAGAAGGATTTGAGCGAATGTTTTCTCGGTTCTTCCAAGAGTGGTACAAAGCTAAATGCATCGGAGTTAGTTTGTTTGCTACCTGTAATATAATAATACCTATGAGCTCGTCAGCGTAAATCACTCAGTGACAAAAGGTTGCTAGAACATACAGGAAGCGGTGTCAAAATGAAAAGATACTGAATTTTTTCATGAAATTTTTGATGCTCCCTTGTACGTGTAAAGTGATGTTTTATTTTTAAGGAAATATGCCCCTAGCTATTTCTAACAAAAAATTGTGTCATTGACCAATTTTATGTACATGTTAGTACCAGAACTTCAGAGATCCCAGCTATTTTTTTACCCTTTGAAGTAGACCTTGAATTCTTGAAAGTCGTACAAGTAATAAATGAGTTTATTATTTATTGCTAAAGTTAATGTTGGAAACTTAGAACCTGTAAAAAAGTAGGTATACATCCATATTTTGTTTTCCTTTCTTTCATTGATACATGTAGTATGTTAAACTGTTTTGTTTTTAAATTACTTTAGTTTAGAGAAACTTCTTGATATATATCCATTCTGATCTAGTGATATTAAATCTTAATTGCATTTAAAGCAAAGGAGACTGTGGGGCAGATCGCGGCATCTAGTAAGAAATCGTTGCGGTCATTCTGCTCTTAGGTTTGTTGTGCGCCTTGTGTTTGCAAGCTCTTGTCTCTTAGGTTTGTCGTGCGCCTTGTGTTTGCAAGCTCTTGTCTTGTTGGTCTGGAGTCAATCTTTTTGTTTAAGTTCTTTATATAATTCAGTTATTTTCATTTTCCAAGCAAATTGTATGTTTCACATTTAAATTATTTACATTCAGTAAGTTTTAAGAACATTTTAGAAAGGAAAAATACAGTATAAAAGTGTTACATTGAGCTATATCACTTTACTTTAAAATCTGGACATAGTTCAGAAAACACTTAAAGTGAAATTAACATTTCAGTTGAAGTTACAACTGTAATTTTCATCCTGTCATATTTTGGTGACCTTTTGTGACAGCTTGTCTCAATTGGAGGAAAGCATTTTTACTTGCTGATTAAAAATGTCATTTGAAACCATTTTATTACTGGGGACACGGAAATTAATCTTGACACTTAGAACCAGTAGAAAAATAATTGCTGATTCACTGCATAAAATGTGTATGTGAACCAGTCATGTACTCAAGATTAAAATAAAAGTCTGTGCTTGTTAAAAAGATTACATTTTCTTACAAATGGGTCTTAGATTCTTTTGAAAGGGAGTGTGTGTGGGGGAGTCTTTGAAACAGTTTCAACAAAATGAAATGTGGCTTAGAGGTTTTGGAAAATCTTGCAGCCGATTATGGAATCAAAGGTATGAGATAGACTGATAGTATGTAAAATTTGCCCTTCAGTCTGGAAAGCATAGAAATGTTTCTCATTATTATATAATGGAATCTTTTTAAAGTATACCTATATGAGTATAAGATGTGTTATCACAATGTAAATTGAAATATTATTTTAAAACGAGGGCCCTTATTTAGAATCTTTTTATAGGAGCCTTGTGCCAGTGGAATATAAATCCACGTGTTTTGTATTCTAAAGCAGTGAGCACCTACTAGTTGGTTAACAAATGCTTGAACTAAATGAGTCTTTCTTCCTGTGTGACTTTGCTTGCATTTGATAGGACTTCCATATCAGACTGCGCGTTTATAAAATGTCTTTACAGAATAAAATGTTTTATAAATCGGAAATTTTGAGTTGAGTTTTTTATTCGACTTCAAAGTGAGTTCATTAAGTTTTTGCCTTTAAGTTAGTACAACCAGTGATCTATATAGTTTCTACTGTTAAGTACTTTTAATCTATCACTTAGTTCAATATGGAGAAGATACTCAGCCTACTCCTCACTGATGTCAGTTGCTGCTTCTAATAATTGGATGGCAGTAGTCAAGGGAAGATTGCAAAATGCTAGCACTTTAAGGGCAGTGCTTAAGCTTAGTTTCACTCCCCATTCCTTTTACCTTCCCTCATATTTTAATCATCTTAAATGAAACTATTTCAAAACGTATAGGCCCTAGCTTACATCTTATTACAAAGGAAAACTGTCTTTCCTGAACTAAGTATCACTAAAGGGTATTGAGTGCCACTGATTTTATAATATTTGCTATCACTAATGTATATTGAGGGTGAAGCCCTTGCTGTACCGGCATTTCATTATATATGTTTTTTTTCTGTTTTCTCCCTACAAACCTATTTTAGCTTGTCGGAAGGTATCTAACACATATGCATTTTTTTCAAATAGAACTTTCCGCAGAAGCCAAAGCTGCATTGCTTGAATTTGAAGAGAGAGAGCGACAGCATAAGCAGGGACGCTATGGTTCCAGGCGGGGAGGAAGGCGAGGAGGCTCTCTAATGTGTCGTGGAATGGGTGACCAGAGACGCGACAACAGTGAGAGGGGGAGGATGAAAGATCACAGACCTGCTCTGCTTCCTACACAGCCTCCTGTAGTGGTAATTTTGATCATTTTTGTGTGTGATAGCTTTCAGTTTAGAACAAATGAAAACTACTCTTAGGGGTTATTTTTTCATTCCTCTCCATCTGTAATTAAAGCTTAGTAATTGGAATAGTGCTTTTTGATCTGTAATACAATTTCATCAGTTGTTCTATGATCTGGTAGTAAGAAATACTTTCTATGCTCTGACAAAGAAGAATTAAATAAGAGATTTGAAGCTCTCAAAAGGCAAGAATCACCTGAGTCCCTTGGTTTATCTTTAAGCTGTATAGAACGGCACTTCTAACTAGAACAACACTTAAAAGTACTGAGTTTGTAAACCATATAATTTTGGCAGTGGCTCTTTATTTTGCAAAAATAGTCTTTATACTGTTTGCCATAGATTTTCAGTAGTTTCTGTCAGAGTCGTATTCATTCATTCAAACTCTCCATAAGAGATGGGTTGATATCCATGTTTTATAATTTAGAAGTCACACATTTGCCATTGTGATTTCATTTGATCTTCCTCGATTTAAAAAGTGGGACATATGAGAAGCAAGGAGGAATTGTAGTAGTTTTTTATTCAGTGTTAGGATTTTCTAGCATTTCCCTTCAAATGCTAATCTTCAAGGACAAAAACAGTCAATAAAAGTATGTGTCCACCTGGCCTTTTTATGTGAATTTAGAAGAAAACTACACTTTGCTTCTGTGTAGAAATGTCATATTTTAGGAGGTATACATTTGTTAGCTAACAAAGGAAAACAATAAATGTATGAGAAACAACCACATAGGAGACCTGTTTTCGGATCACTGACTCCATAGTCTTGGAAACATCACTGAACTTCCTGTTTTCATGTCTATGAAGAGGGGGTACATGCCCAACCTACCGCATTCAAAGAGGCTGAACTGAGACTATGTAAACACACATATCACACAAAGTGCTTTAGAAGTTTAAGTTAACTTGAATCCTGAGGTAAATGACATAATCCTGGAGTTCTGAGACTGACTGAAGCCAAATGATGCTCTAAGCTCTATTCTAATTCTAATCCTTACTAGTCCATGCTGTTTTAAAATGGCCAGTTTGCTAAAGCGATCAAGGCTATGGGAAATGAACTTCATCTCACTCTACTGCTCCTCCCCCTCAAATCACAAACATCCTTTACCCTGCTCACTCCCACCTCCACCCTAGAGCTGTTTGTCTCTAACTTTTTACCTCTTAATATTCTGGAGAGATTATTCTTTTGGCTTACCTTTGCTTCTTCCCAAATTCACTACATGAATTTATTCTTTTCATTATACTGAAGGGTACACACTGAATCATCACTTCATTTTTTTGTCACTTCTTATCCTGTGTGACTACTCCTATCTAAGATTTTTGAGATCACTGATTATCCCTTTTTTGTGTCTAAATTTTGGGGGGAGGTACATGTTCTCCGGTTGTTCCTCTTGTGCCTTTTATTACTATTTTTTAAATTGCAATTTTCTTAGAGGTTAGTTCTTAGTCCTTTTTTTATTCAATATTCTCAATTGGCAGTATTATCCTTGCTATCACCTTCTGTCTCTATATCAACCGTAGTCTCTACTCTTCCAAATTTCCCTTACACTTTTTTTTAAAATGTTGAGTTTGTGACCATGTACTGGTCATTTCCAGTTCAATTTTTCATTACCTTAGCTGTCCCTGTGTTAGTGTTTTATCTCTGTAATAAGATGTACCTCAGTCAATATCTGGAAATACAGATTTGAATGCTATATAAAGTCCTTGCCCTTACAAGTGTGGCAAATTAGAAAAGGGGAAGATACAGAATTGTACAAGAAATGTCCCACAGATTTAAAGTAGTCTTGGAGTTTTGGGAATGTCTTCGCTATGGAAAAGACAGTGAAACCAAGGCCGTAGACAATTTGCTCTCAAGATTTGACTTAAATGTACTTCTGAAATCTCTGCTCCTCATCGCTTTTCTTCACCCCTAATCATTACCTAGTCCATCTACCCATTGTTAGCCGTAATCTTCCTAAAACACATGACATCATAACAATTGTTTGTTGCAAAAGCCTACCGTAATTTGGCACCATCCCAGGGAAAGCAACTGTCCTAGATAACTGGTATGTAATATTCTATACTGTCTCTGCTTTTAGTGGCAGTATGGGCACAACTTTTTTGAAATCCGGTTTTCTGAATCCAAATCTCAGTTACTTACTTAACACCTACTTGACTTTGAGGAAAGAATAGTAATTGAGCTTATTTCATTGGATTATTGGGAAGATTAAGTCAATTTATATAGTAACCTTTAAGTGAGCAATTTAAAATATGCAACATTGTCAGTATACATTGTCTGTTGCTGCTGCTACTACTAGTACTCATTTTCTCTTTGTATGACAAAATAACCCAAGCTCTGTGACCACTTGCAGTATGTAATATCCACACACTCTCAGTCTTTTTTTATCTTTTCATGGCTCTTAAACCACACTAGTCTCCTTTTAGTTCACCAGTCAGGTGAATGTTTCTGCCCTGGTGCTTCTTTCAGGGAATTTTGTTATTCCTTCTGTATGATGTACTTCTTTTTTGGGGGGGACCTGAATCCAAATACTACCCTCTCAGACCTTTACCACTCCCACCCCACCCCATCCCCCCAGCTGCTCTCTTCTCCACGTCTCTCGAACCCTGTGCTCCCTCATCCTGGAGCTGTTATTTAGCGTGATTCTTGTGGTTTTGTTGGTTTGTTTTCACCAGATCTGTGTAGCTCAAGGAGTAGGGCTGTGTGTGCAAGAACTGAGAGCAGCATTCTTTACATTTCTTCTAAAGGTTGATTTATATGAATTTTTCTTTCCCTTTTTTTGTGTTTGTGGATTCTAGACTCATTCTCCAAGATTAATTCCTCCTCCACAGCCACCTCCACCTCCACCACCACCGCCTCCTCAGCAGCAGCCAATTAGGAGTCTGTTCCAGCAGCAGCAGCTACAACCTCTGCTTCCCTTGCAACATCCGCATCATCCCACGCCGCCTCAAGGGATGCATATGCCTCCCCCAATAGAGGCCCCGAGAATAATGATGACCCCGCCTCCGGTGACTCCACAGCAGCCCAAGAATATCCATATAAATCCGCATTTCAAAGGGAATGTTGTAACTCCTGTCCAAGGTGTGTATGTGAGAGAGATTCCTTTTACTATTTTGAGTAATGTTATAGATTGCTGTGCATATATCAATCAATTTTTCCACTGTGGCAAAATAGTTTTCATCTTCAAGTTTCTAAAGATGAGTGGATTCCTTCCCTCATCCATGAAAACACATTTTTAGCTTGTACCAACTCCATTGCACCAGCATACATTTAAATGTATAGACATTTAAATAATATATTTTATGATTTAATACAAAGTACTGAGGAAGCAATTTAAATTTAAAGAACACATTAAAGATACTTATTGAAGTGTATGTAGGGTTCTAGTTCATAAATTTCATGGTGAAAATGTTAATAGTAATAAGTGTTAATTTTAGGTTTTATTTAGTGTGCACCATGTTAATTCCATTGTTTGCTGATTGGGAGATGCAAATCCATTGATTAAAAATTGTAATTGAATAGCTACTTAATGTTGTTACAGAAACATGTTGCTAAAGTAAGGGACTATTTTGAACAATTTATATGAAATGTGTCCTCTTAGCATCTGCTTAACAAACGTTTATTGAGCCTATTACTTTATTCCCAGAATTTGCTATATACTGGTGAACAAAACAAAACTTCTTGAAATAGAAATAACAACAATTTTTTGTAGCTTGATAGAAACTGGAAGGAGATGAAGAGGGTCTAGTTGTAATTGGGATGGAGTGACACATGGAATAGGGAGGAATCTGGAAATGAAAAACATGTCTCAGCGAGGGTGGGAGGGGTCTGGATCAAGTGAGATCATGAACTCATGATCATGCAGATCACACTTCTCCTGCAGATCACGTGTTGCCCTAGTCCTCCTGCAAGACTACGTTCTCAAGAGCAAGGAGTGTGCATGCTTTTCTACGTCAACTTCACTGAGGAGTATGGTGCACTCTCATTAAATATCTGTTGTGTGAATGAATACATGGCCTCCTGCAAGGAGAACAGATGGCTCTCACTAAACCAATCTTTGGCATATTGTTACCTACAATTGTTTCCCCGACATAGCTGCACTAACCCTAATTTTAGTTACACAACTTTTACTTAAGTCTGTATTTGTAAAATTGAATGGAAAACTGGCAAATTAGTAAGTTGCACAGATTTTCTTTAGCCTAAGAAAAAGAACAGAAGCCTTTGGAACTTAAGAGGTAAAGGTGCAAGGGAATCATGCAGTGTCTTCTAGGTGGGAAACCGCTCTGCGATGCTGACTAATCTCCGTGGGTGGTTCAGCAATGTCAGGATCAGGTTTCTGACAAAAGTTTGGTTTCCACTTTCATTTTCTCTAAAGCGATGCAAAACTTTAATAAAGCAGTCTTGAATGCAAAGTTTTTATTTTCAGTTTTTCTTCTCTAGGGGTTATTAGATAGAAACATATTTTTTTTATAACCCCTGCTCGTTTGGTTGGTTAGATTCTAGTGCAGAGAATTATTCTAGTCACACCTCTAACTAGATGGTTGTGAACTGTTACCAAAAAGAAAGGAGTGGGACCCACTTGACCAGGAAGTTTTGGGGATCACTGTAAAGTAGTTAATAAGTTGCCTGAACATGGATATTCTGAAAATTGAGTAATACTTTATGTAGTATTTCCTACTTACAAATATTCATATGGGTATAATTTTTTGAACAGGGCACTATTTATTACCAGAATGGTACCTATGATGGATTGTAAAAGCATATATTTAGTAATGCCTTAAAAAAGGGTATAAAGTCCCCCGTTCTTGCTACTATTCCCTGCCCTCCCCCATTGTCCTTACCACCTTCTTTGCCATCCCCCCCACCCCCACATTACACAGAGGTGGCGATGTACCCTTCTAAAGTTTTAATAATGTTTTATGTTCATGTACAAATACTTTTGAAAATACAGGTAGATGGGTTTCTTCTCTACAGTTTGCTCTACAAAGAAACGAACAATTTATGCACATCTTTTTCTGCTGGCATGTATATTTTTCTTTTAAGGTTGAGGGATGTTTCACTATATTAGAATTTATTTAACCAGTTTAGGGGAGATTTAACTTGTTTTTTAGATTTTTATTTTTACATCTGTCTTAGTAAATTGAAAACTTAATCCACTTAGACCATTAAATAATGGGAGAACTGATTATTCAGAATTCAGAGTTGAAGTAGAATGGCCTCTTAATATTAAACAAATTAAAGTTCTCTACCTTTGAAAGTGGTACAGATATGGCAGTAGGAGTTGTACATCTACTAGATTGATAGTCTTCTACCTAGACAGATTAAAAATCGATGGGAATTTCACCAAGATTTTAATCTGGGGGTGGAGGGGTGGGCTGTGCTAAATTTTTGTCTGTTCTTATTCACTTTACATTTGCTCTCAGCTACTCAATTTTAATAGGTTGGGTTCCTTGTCTCTCCTGCATATTTCACAGTTTGTCTTGGAGAGGGATCGGGGAAAGAAACTCATGCTTTTTGGAAGCTGCCACAAGGCACAAGGCTTCTGTGTAAGAAATCTATTAATTATAACCAGATTTCTTCCAGAGAACTTTCCTAGGTTTCTTGCTTTCCTTTTCTTCCAATTAAAGAGGCTTACAGATGTCACTCTTTCATTGTATTGGAATTAAGCAATAGTAATTGACATTTCGGAGAAAGACAGCGCTGTCTACTCCCGTAAATATTTACAGTCTCAGAATTTCAAAGGGGCAACAGTCTCAGAGATTCAACAGGGCTTCAAATTCTAGGTTTAAAAGTAAGTGGTAGAATTTCTGAGTATCTGGGTCTTTTGTCCTTGGTACTTAATGTTAAACATATTTATGTTGCTTGAAGTAAGGAGCCCTAGTGGCATAGTAGGTTATGTGTTGGACTGCTAACTGCAAGGGCAGCCAGAGCTGCCACACCCAGAGCTGCTTCTACTCCCAGAGAGTTCGTCTCAGAAACCCAGTGGCAGATCTGCCCTGTCCTGTAGGGTTGCTGTGAGTCAGAAATGACTCAATGGCACTTCTTCTCTGCATCCTTATTACATATTTCGCTTCAAATATTGATGTTTGTACTGCAGTGTATTTTAACTAGCTCTGTGAATTAATCTTGTTTTATATGGCATTGGAAGTTGACCCACCCTGATTTTAAAATGGGTATTTACTGGATTAGTCTCTCAAGGGAATAATTCACTCTTACTTGCCATTTTTGCATCTTATAAAAGTAAGTTCTTTGAGTCACACATTTTCTGTTTTATCATTGACATTGGCACCTACTTTTAGTTGAACCTGTGGAAGTATGATGCTAATTATAAAGATTCATGTGTGAAATTCCCTGAGCAAATAAAAACAAGACACTAAATAAAAATAGTTTATTCTAGCGTCTATTTTTCATGTAATTAAACTATTACATTAAAATATCCTAAGTTTTTATATTTAAGGTAATTTTTATTGATGCTTAGAAGTATGATCTCTATTTCAAGATATTTCAGGAATTTCTGAAATGAAAAATATCCTATATTAAAATTTTACCTGCTATTCTGATAGCTTATATTATGTGCATTAGGCAGACCATTTCAATGTAATTTTAAGTGCTTAAAAACATCTATTTTAGTTCCAGTATCTGAAAGTAATATATAACTTCTAAGTGTCTGCTTAAGAGTTATTTATTTGATTGCTTGCTCTTTGGGTTCTCGGCAGCACTCCGTGAGCATGTTCCCCCGAGACGGAAGCCTTCTTTTCCCTACCGCCTGCCTCCCTTCCTTGTTTCTTCACTTCCTTTCTCTCTGCTTCTAGAGAATTTAGATTAGTACTTACATTTAACTGGACTAGACATGTATAGTTGATAACAGGTAAATGAAAAGCAAACTAGATTTTAAAAAATTGTATACTATTTCATCTTAATGCAAAGACATTTTAATTTCTGCTTGTGCTACTGTATGCCAAAATAAAAGTTCTCATCTCCTCTTTTCCTTTTTTGGGCTGTTTTAAAATATTAGACTTCCTTTTTATAAGAAGTATCAATGTTATATAAAATAAGTTTGTAATGCAAGGTGCCTTTTCTTCTAGTGCCCTTGCTACCAGTTCCAAACCAGCCAAGACCTGCTGTGGGACCCCAAAGATTCCCAGTGAGTAGCAGCTGTTTCTTCTGCTGTGTTATGGATAAGCACACATTTACAAAGAAGTATTAATATCACATATACTAGTGGTTCCAGCTAAATATAATTTTAAGGATCTGTAAATATTGACAGTAATCTCAGCAGTTGAAAATGTTTGTTAAAAGCTTAAGGTCAATGGATTTTTGAGAGTGGAATTAATTTTGTTTAACTGTAAAATTGTTGAACCAGAATCACCAGTGGAATGTCTTTCATCTGAGAGAATATGGATTTTCATTTTATTATTGCCTTCTTAATATTAGGTGCAAAAGGTCTTAGCTTTATTATGGGGTGTATGTATGAGTGTTTGTGCCTGTGTGGGTATGAGCGTTAAATAACAGTGAAACCTGTACTGTTCTTGGTGGGTGGGGGACCCAAAGTTTTAGACAGCTATTTGTTTTATATTTTTAAATAGGAGGTTTTGCGCTACAATATCTTTTTTAAAAAGCACACATATCCTCTCACTCCTTGTGCTATCCCTCTTTTACACATAAGAAACTTTCTATAATTTCAGCCACATAATATGTTACATTTGAGGTAGAAGCAAAATATCAAGTAGTGTTCTGTTGGTTTTATTTGAATAGGGCTAGGTTCATGGTTTTTATTAAAAGAATGTAGCTTTGAAAAATAATGTTCAGAAACTGTACCAATGCTAAAATTCGAATGTCATGTATATAAGCAGAAATACTTTTCTTTAAGCTAAACAGGCTAATTTTCAGGAATGCCTAAATAGCTTAGTTAACTCTAGCTGTGATATTTTGCTAGCTAACATACTTATGTATGAAGTTAGTAAATAGGTTTTAATGAATTATACATCTAGTTGTAAAATCAAATGATTATTAAAAAGTAAAATCATAGAAATTTAAATTCAGGCTTCTACGAAAAAATAATGTGATTTATTAATTTTGGTATGGTTTCTAAAATTTGGTATGATTCTAAATGTTTTATTATATTTAGCTTTTTTTCTTTTTTAAATCACAAAATTTTTAAAATTACCTTTTAAAAATCTAGGTAGCATTTCCGGTGTAACAGACTTTATTCAAAACATTTGTTCAAGTAGCCAGGATTTATTAATTGCACTACCCATGGAGAGGTTATATGAATTTAATCATTTGAACCATTTCTTTTGGCAAAGTAGTTAATTGCTAGCTGTTGAAAACATTAAATTTGAAATCTAAAGGACAATTGCAATTTAAGGAATTAAAGCTAAAGCAATGTTTCATGAAATTAATATTTTTGTAAAAATTAGTATATGAATTTAAAGTTAATCACTTTCAGATCTCACCTGTTTTCAACTGGGCAAATATAGTTGTATCTGGTGCTAGAAACAACAATCTCTCCAAGTGAGGATATTGAAAGGTTTTTTGGGGGAGGGGGCGGCGGAAATGGAACATGTTTTCAGGTTGTGTTTTGAGGTCAGTAAGCACTGTTGAGCTCCTTTAGGAAACGTTTCTTTCTGCAAGGCATATACCTGCAGTTCTGAGAAGGGGGAAGTGTGCGTGGGCAGGAGGAAGGACTTGGGCTAGAAGTCATCATGTATCTGAAAGCTCTTGAGAAATACTATCTTCAGTTCAAGTATTTACCCTTTTTATCATGTATCTTTCCTTTTTTTTAGATAAAATATTTCAATTTTATTATTAATATTCTGTATATCTGAATAGGAAATTCTCTCACAAAAAAAAACACAAACCACTTCAAACACAAAAAGAATCTCCAAGAAACATCTGTACCTATGTTATTTCCCCTGTTGAGGAAGACGGTCAAGAATATTGTAGTTTGATAAGCCCCTCCAGATACTGTTTTCTCTTAGCTCTTTAAATCATGTATCTTTCTTTAAACCCGAGTGTTAGACCTTCCCTTAAAGGTCTGGTCAATTTGTGGCTTTGAAAATGCTTGTTCTGTAATCAGTTGCCCTTAAAGAAAATAATCAAATGTGAAGCCCAACTTATAAAAATGCATTCAGGGTCTGTGTGCTTTTGTGAAAGTCAAAATACTGTTGTGGAGAGAAACTGTGGGTAGTCCTCAAATTTAGATGTTATTCTAATTAACCATGAACTACACTTAAGAATCTGGTTTTGTTTCTTATTATTTTGTACATCCTTATACTATGCTACATGTACTGCTGCTCTGTGTGCTACATATACTGCTGATGTCATTCTCTGATGTTCACAGTTTGATAATAAAAAACAAATAAATGGAAATGAAAGTAAAATATCTTCAGCATTAAAACTGTTTTATGACAGCATCATTGGAACAGAGTTCCACCATAAGTCGAGGACTTAGAATTAACATACTATTATGAAACTGCTTTTTGTCTGATTTGCATAACTCGATAAATTTTGTATGACATTATTTTCCCTTTCTACTACTGGATTCAGTTTGGTTGCTATCAGTGTAATTTAATGTTGTAAACTGTTGATGAGGATTACTATATACTAAATGCCCTGTAGAGTCCCAGTCACTAAACAAGAAAATGAATAAGTATACTTAATTTAAGCATAACTTAAGTACTTAAAGTAATTTTCACTTGAGTAAAATTATAAAAATAGTGAACAAGCAGCCAACTAGCTCAGAAGCAACAAAGCCCACATGAAAGAAGCACAACAGCCTGTATGACCACAAGCTGTCGAAGGGATCAGGTATCAAGCATCAAAGAACAAAAAATATCATTGTAAAGGTGGGTGAGTGCAGAGTGGAGACTCAAAGCCCATCGGTAGGCAACTGGACACCC